ACAAAAGCCAGCTTGAACAAGTGAGTCTTCAGCTGCTTTTTAAAGGAGACCACTGAGTCCACTGATCTCAGGCTCAGGGGGAGAGAGTTCCAGAGTCTGGGGGCCACAGCAGCAAATGCTCTGTCACCTTTGGTCTTTAACCTGGTAAGATGCACAACCAGTGGGCTTTGATAACTGGACCTCAGGGACCTGCTGGGGGTGTAGGGACTAAGAAGATCACCAATGTAAGATGGTGCTTGTCCATGTAAGGCCCTATAGACCAGAACCAGGATCTAGAAAAGAACCCTGAAGTTGACTGGCAGCCAGTGAAGCTGGAGGAGAAGCGGGGTGATGTGGGTGTGTTTGGAGGACTTGGTCAGAAGCCGAGCACAGGCATTCTGAACCACCTGTAGACAGTTCAGGGAGGTTCTGCTCAGACACGTGAAAAGAGAGTTACAGTAGTCTAAGCGTGAGGAGATGAAGGTGTGGATAACTGTCTCAAGTTCAGAGCGGGACAGAATGGGACTCAGCTTAGCAATGTTCCTGAGATGGAAGAAGGAAGAGCGAACAAGAGAACTGGCATGAGAATACAGAGTGAGCGCTGGGTCAAAGGTCACGCCAAGATTCCTGACAGAAGGTTTGGTGTGGGAAGCAAGCTGACCAAGAGAGTCTCTGACTTTGGGAACCAGCTTGTCTGGGGCACAGATGAGGATCTCAGTCTTATCTTCATTCAGCTGAAGAAAGCTCCCAGCCATCCAGGTTTAAACAGAGTCTAAGCAAGTGTGTAACAGCTGCAGCTTAGACATCTCATGGGGCTTAAAGGAGATGTACAGTTGGATGTCATCTGCATAAAGATGGTATGATATTCCTTTGAAGGAGCTCAGGATGTGCTGAAAAGGAAGCAGATAGAGGAGGAAGAGCAGAGGCCCCAGCACAGAACCTTGTGGGACACCATGGGAAAGAGAGGTGGTGGAGGACCTAAACTTGGAGGCGGCCACAGAAAAGGAGCGCTCAGAGAGATAAGAGGAGAACCACTCCAGAGCAGATCCTGATAGGCCTACCCAGTCTCTCAGCCTCTTCAGTAGCAGGTGATGGTCATTAGTGTCAAAGGCTGCAGTCAGGTCCAGCAGGACCAGAACAGAACAGTCCCCTGCATCACTGTGAGTCAGAAGGTCATTAGAGACCCTAAGAAGAGCTGTTTCAGTAGAATGAGCTCTACGAAAACCTGACTGGAAGCTATCATAGATATTATGTTCATCAAGAGCAGCTGTGAGTTGTTTAGCCACAACCTTTTCCAAGATCTTGGAGATGAACGGAAGTTTAGAGATGGGTCTGAAGCTGCTATGGAGAGAGGGGTCGAGACTCGGTTTTTTAAGAAGTGGGTGGATTACAGCGTTCTTAAAGTAAGCAGGGACCTGACCAGAAACCAGAGAGCACGCTGGGACCGATGGACTGAAAAGCACTTTTAAACAAAGATGAGGGTAAGATGTCGAGGGGGCATGCAGAGGTCTTCATAGAGTTAACTATTTTGGTTAACTCAGGCAAAGAAACTGGAGCAAAGCTATCTAGGATGATGGGCCTGGTTGGAGTCGGGAGAGGCAGCGAGAAGGCTGAAGGAGAGATGCTAGATCTGACCTTACTGACTTTGTCCACAAAGAAAGACAGAAAGTTCTCACAGTCTAAAACAGAGTGGATGGAGGCTGTAGGAGAGGCAGGAGAGACGATGCTGCTGATGGTGTTAAACAGCACCTTGGGGTTCCCTTTGCTCTGGGACACCAGGTTGGAGAAATGGGAAACCCTGGCGTCTCTGACTGCAGAGTTGAAGGATGTCAGAAGATCCTTTAGGTGCAGCAGATGGACGTGGAGATGGGTTTTCTTCCACAAATGCTCAATTTTTCTGCACTGGCGCTTCAGGCTGAGAAGGCTGTCATAAAACCAGGGAGTAGGGTTCACTGCAGGAACTGATCTGGTTCTGACAGGACAGATGTTGTCCAGAATGGAGAGGCAGTGCTCGTTGAACTGAGAAGTTAAGGAATCTGGGTCGTTATCAGAAGAACAGGGTGGATAAAAAGCAGCAGAAAAATTGCTAGCTGTGCTCTCATTAAGAAAACGAGAACTAACCATACGGCGAGCAGGAGGTGGGGACGCAGAAACTGACAAGTTAAAGAAAATGCAATGGTGATCTGAAATATAAACGTCCTCAGGACAAACGCTGTCAGCATTTAGACTCAGGGTAAAAACAAGGTCTAGAGTGTGCCCCCTGGTGTGTGTGGGGCCAGAAACATGCTGGGTAAAGCCGAAGGAGTCCATCAGGCTGGAGAAATTCATGGCAAAGAGATCGGAGGGATCATCAACGTGGATGTTAAAGTCACCAACAATCACCAGTCTGGACAGCTTCACAGTGGAGGATAGAAAGTCGCTAAACTCCTGAAGGAAAGAACTGTTTGGACCAGGTGGACGATAGACCACAGCACAGTAGAACGGGTCCTTACGCCCAACTTTAACCAGCTGCAGTTCAAAGGAAGCAAAGTGACCAGAGGTCGTAGAGCTACATGGAAGATGGTCTCTGAAAACAACAGCTAGGCCTCCACCCCGACCAGAACCCCGGGGCTGGCTAAGAAAAGAATAACCACTCGGGCAGAGTTCAATCAGACCAGAATAATCGGATGTTTGCTGCCAAACTTCAGTCAGAAACAGAAAATCCAGGTTTTTAGATAGAATTAGATCATTGAGCAGGAAGGACTTATTGTTAACAGAGCGGGAATTTAAGCCCTACACACTTTGCGTGATGCGCGTTTGGGGAGCGCGGGCGCTGGTTTAGCGTGAGATATTGGAGGTGTGGAGGTGTGGCGTGAGAGCGTGTCAAGAGGGTCAAATGCGTGTGTCACACGCTCAGTGCTTGAGAGTTGGCAGCCTTGTATCTACCATCAACACACCTCCATTGAGGGAAGTAGCCCTACATATGTGATACATATGTGGGCTGCATGGTGGCACAGTGGTTAGCACTGTTGCCTCGCAACACGAAGGTCGCAGGTTCGAAACTCGGCTGCGGCCTTTCTGCGTGGAGTTGCGTGTTCTCCCCATGCATGCGTGGGTTTTCTCCGGGTACTCCGGTTTCCCCCACAGATCACAACATGCCCTATAGGTTAAAAAAAAAAAGTAAGTTGCTTTGGGTAAAAGCGTCTGCTAAGCACATAAACATAAACATAAACATAAATTGTTAAACCCATGTTAACATGCAGGAACGTCACAGAATTCCCCGACTCACAGAATAAAGAAATAATGCATTGAACCAGGTCAGCTCATGTGTGCAACACAGCTAAGCTGTACAATGATTAACTAAATATAGCTTATTTTACCATATTTATTCTATGACAGGCTGTGCACCTAAGAGCTAAAATCCCATCAGTAGTTTGTGATATTTGCCTATGTCAGAAAGGATATGAATACTCTTGATTCGTGGTAGAGCCACGCTAAGGACTGTTTTAATTAAACTCCATCTGAATTCATGACCATTACGTCCACTCCCGTCTCTTCATTTATAGGTAAAAAAATGTTTATACTAACTGTTCAGTTAGTCTGACTGACCATGGCACACCTGTCGTTAGTTACCATTTAGAGGTTTTTCCATATATGTGATTGTTACGGCCACAGCCGATTTCTATTTTACGTGGCTCTGCCACCTGTTTTCATCCTCGTGCTGAGGAGAGCTACACTGCAGCACCTGTCCCTTCCTGCACCACCTGGCTCAGCCCTGAAGCACCCAGGTGGAGGGAGTCATGATCAGCAGCTGAAGAAGGACAAACACTTTAAAAAGCTCCTGGAACAACTCCTCAGCGAGCAGCAGAGTAGAGAAACCTGACTCTGGCCTGTTGCCTCCTCGGCTTGCATTTTACCATCCGTGTAGCTGATAGTGTTTTGTGTCATGGTGTGTGTCTAGCTAGTGTGTGTTTTATATGTTTAAATGAAGAGAGATGCAGGTGAGGTCCTGCTTACAACCTCTTGAGTTTGCAGGGGAGTACCTGATTAGAGTTTTTGCAAAGTTTAGTTATTCGACACAGTGATGCCATTAACAAGATGTTAAGTGTGTTTGTCAACGTGTGTCCTTTTCCTATTTTTTACCGATCCAGCTCCTTGTATTAATTTGTTTCTGTGAAGGTTTAAGCCTGATGTCAGGAGCATTTTTGGTAATCTTTTGCCTGTGTCACGTGCCCTCCATGTTGCCCCAGGTCTCCTATGCCTGGGTTGCAACAGTGATGCTCTTGTCTTTGGTTTCACATTCTTCAGCCTTAATTTTATTACTGGTCCTTTCCACTAGACGCGTAAGCTGCATATTGCAAATTTTAGTATGCAGCAATTAGCTGCAGCTATAGTGGATGGGTGGGTTTCTACCCAAACTGATTGCAGGGCTCAGTTGCAAAACGATAATTCTACCCCACTTGGCTAGCACGATTCAGCTCAGGGTCTATTGGAACAATCCCAATCAGTCAACGTGCTCCCTCTGAAAATCCCCGTTCTTACACACACACAGAGAGAGAGAGAGAGAGAGAGAGAGAGAGAGAGAGAGAGAGACAGAGAGAGAGACAGAGAGACAGAGAGACAGAGAGAGAGAGAGAGAGAGAGAGAGAGAGAGAGAGAGAGAGAGAGAGAGAGAGAGAGAGAGAGAGAGAGAGAGAGAGAGATCAGATTGATGCAGGCAGCTCGGGGCCTGCTGCAGCTCTGAACAGAGTTCCAACAGGATTGACCTCGTCTAAGTCCTAAGCTGTAAATGCACATTCTAAAGTCAAATAAGAAGGCACCACTTGCCACATGCTTTCATATCAACTTGTAGTTTCATATGTAACATTTTCCCAACATATCTACAGGGTGTCCCCACTAAACCAATAACAGTAGAAATGTACATATGCAGCCATGAAAGGCATCAGGTTGTGCACGTTTTCACAGTGATTGACATCTCAAGTTTCCATGGGAAAGGTGTGTAGTCATTTTTGCACATGAATGAACGCACTCAATGAACTTACCCTATGACAGCAAAAGCAGGAAGCTCCTGAAGGTCAAAGGGAAAGTCTAATCGGAAGCGGGTTTTAAAAAGTGCTGTGATGGTCTCTGTGGAAAGGGAAAACGAGTTCAAGAGGAGTTACAAAATACAGCACAACTAGAAATTTTCATTTTCCTCAATAGAAAGAAAACATTGGATCTTGTCCTTATACAACCTGCCCCTAGTTAACAGAGGGTTAAAAAAATTATGTAAACAAGGGTAAAAGCTAGGGATGAGCGAGTACACCACTATTTGTATCTGTATCTGTACTCGGAGTGGGCGTGGTCTAACCCGGAAGTGGGTGTGGTTTAACCGGGAGTGGGTGTGGTTTACATCAATACATTTCAAGTCTGATATTGATATGGATTGATCAGAAGTTGCTATGTGTATTGTTTATTTGAAAACTATTTACAGACCAGCCTCAGAGTTGAGATTAAATATTTTTGATAACAATAGTAAAGGAACTATTACAGAACAAGTTTTTCATTAAAATCAGAACATTATTATTCAAGTGCATGAATTAATACATCTGAATTCATGCAGTAGGATCCAGGAAATATGAAATACTAGAACCAGACACAACTTTTTATAATTTTTAAAAAATTTTAAATAATTTGATTCAGTCTCAGCTGAAGTACCCTCTGTATCACTCATTGTATGAGAGAGAGAGAGAGAGAGAGAGAGAGAGAGAGAGAGAGAGAGAGAGAGAGAGAGAGAGAGAGAGAGAGAGAGCATGAGCCAGTGTCGGTACAGGATCGGCTCGGGGTCCTTCGACTGCCGATGACGTCAAAGTAGTTGATTGGCTGAACATGAAGCTTACGGAAGTGACGTTACCACGTTATGATTTTGATTGGTCAGAACAAATCTCCGGTCGTAGTCTTAGCGGTTGTAGTCCTGTAGTACAAAAATCAACACGTTTTGGAGAAAATATGTTTGAATTTCAAAAGGAAATGTAAAATATAAGCAAATGATAATCGTTGACCTTCAAAAGCTCTTGATGTTGATGAAATAGGGGCAAAATAAAATATAAGAACTTTATTGAAAGACACCAAGCAACATTTTGAGTCAAAGAATGTATTTAGATAACAACTAAGGAAATATACAGACGAACTCCACATTAATACAAACAGATGTGGCTTCACATATAAGAACTGTTCTACTTGTTGTCAGTCCGATGTTGGTTTTATGCAGTTTCACATTCTTTACAAAACAAAGATAATACGGTGTTTTATTAACAAATTACAATTAAAAAGAAAACATTTAGGTGTTAACAAACAAGAATCTATGAACAAAACTGCTGACGTCTTTCCAAAACATATGTGTGAAAGCCGAGTAGCTTTTCAGTAATGTGACGCCATCGGCAGTCGAAGGACCCCGAGCAGATCCTGTACCGACACCGTTTTCAGCTCCGTCTTGTCAAATGCACCACGTACGTTACGAAAAAAGTAACTTTAAATATTCAACTGAAAAAGAGGCAAGCTGAAGAAAACCTAGGAGTACTGAAGAAACGTGAGCAACAGTGAAGCACAGAGAGATCCGTTACTGTGTGTGTGTGTGTGGATGGGCCGGACAGACTGAGCTCCCGGCTGCAGAGTTTTGTGTGTAGGGAGCGGCGGGCGCTCTGTGTGACTGACAAATCACAGAGCGTGAAGACAGTCAGTTACCCAGTGAGGATTTTCCTTCAGCACGATTACAGATATTTACGAGTTTTGCTCGTTTCATGCTCGTATTCATCAAAAATGCTTTATCTGTACCGGATACTCGGCTCATCCCTAGTAAAAGCTAACAAGTCACAGGAGATTCAGAGGCAGTGAGCTGAGCAAAGGCTCAGCTATAAAAACTAAATCCCAGCTACCACCATTGATCCTTTTACTCTGCCTCTTTCAGGTATATTTCTGATTTTCTCAGTTAATAAGTAGGAATTGTTACTTGTAAGGAGGCAGAATAAGTATCATAATCCAATTTGACTCATTCCATCTTCATAATATTTAAGTAAGTTAATAAAGGAATAATTGTACTACACACAAAACAGGCAAAATAAGCTCTTCATAATCATTTTAAAAATTACAATATTTGTTGACACTGGAAAATGTACATTTGGGTGTAGCTTTTGCCTCGCTACTTTACTGGGTGTGCTCCAAACATGAACATACACTCAGATGCTAGAAGGCAGAGGGAACTTGTGTTACCTTCGTCTCTGTTCCAAACAGCCAGCACTCTGAAGATGAAGGCACTGAAAGTAGCTGCGAAGAAACCTCTCCAGTAGTTCCTCACAGCGAAGAATGTGGATGTTACTTCGATGCTAAACAACACACCTGAAAACCAAACAACACAAAGGAAGAAGTGCAGTCAATGACTAACAGGAGACAGAAACAGAATCCTCATTAGCATATATTTCATTCATTTCATGGGGGTAGCTGTCAGAAACAAGCATCAGTGTGTGATGAATTAAAAATGAGGGTAAGTGTTGTAAAAGCTTCATTGGAAGCTGCATATAGAATATATAAAAATAAAATAAAAAATTACTGGAATTCTTAAAAAAAACATTTACTGTATTTTACCCTCATTATCTGATGTATGGTTGAGGTATAGGATAATACTTATAGAACAAATATTGACCCTAATGTGGAGATTCAGAAAAAAATGTAAGAGTTATAAATAAAGCTCCATATTTTGCACCAACCAACAAATTATTCATAGAGTCTCATATGTTAAAATTTGTAGATATTGTTTATATTAAAACATCCCCTCATGCATTCAGGGTGTGTTTGTGTTAAGAGAATAAAAATACAGAAACATATTTTAACAGAGGTAAAGTCAGAACCAATGTTAAATACAGATATGCATCCTTTTTGAGATTCAAACTATGGAACAGTCTCTGTGATGAGCTGTAATTTTGTTGTATTTTAAAAGATACTGAAAGAGAAACTATAACTATAAAGTACCAAAATAAAAATGAACAAAATCTGTGTTATTTTGTTGTTATTTTTGTCTTTTCTTTGATCTAGTGTCATGATGCATCTGCAAGATCAGTAGGACGGGAATAAGCCTCGACTTCAGCCTGTTCCTTTCCCTTTTCGGTAGCTGCTGTTACAGTGGCAAGTTGAATACATCTTTTTTTTCTATTTTTTTTTACATGGGACAGAAAATAAAAACCTAAACAAAAAAAAAACACTGGATGATTTTTCACAAAACTCTCAAAAGGTCATTGTTGGATGTACTTCTACAACTGACCCCCACACAACCTTAATCAATAATCAAGCTCACTAAACTCACACAGCTATAATCTTAGAGACACTGGGCCAGAGTTAGGTGTGGTGGTAGATGAGTTGATTCTTTCACCTACTCCGAGCATCCCATGACCAGAAGACTTCCTAATCGAACCACGGCGTCATCGCCAAGCTGCATTCAATGGCCAAAATGACAGCAGTCCAACTGATTGTTACTGGGAATTCTAGTGACGTTAGAATTCAGGGACTTCTAATGTTAAATAACTTGTTGAAAACCAGCCATGCATTAATATTCTAATAGGAGGCTTGAACCTATTTGCTTAGTTAAATCAAGGTGGCGACTTTGTTTTTGGCTGGGCAGTGTATATACAAACAATTAATGAATTCTAGGCCTTAAAATTAGGGATGCACCGATCAGGTTTTTTGCTGCCGATCACCGATACCGATATCAAAGAATGCTGATCACCGATATCAATCACCGATACCGATCACCAATACCGATCACCTGGATTGGCCAGAAATTTTCTATAACATTATAATGAGTGCTACAAACTCAGCTCAGTGGCCTAGTGGTAGAGTGTCCGCCCTGAGACTGGGAGATCAGGGTTCGATTCCTGGTCGGGTCATACCAAAGACTGAAGAAAAATGGGACCCAATGCCTCCCTGCTTGACACTCAGCATTAAGGGGTTGGATTGGGGGGTTAAAATGGTCTGTATTAGGGTTGTCACGGTGTGAAAATTTAACCGCACAGTTATTGTGACCAAAATTACCACGGTTTTCGGTATTATCGCAGTATTTTTTTAAACGTGCTACATTTTCACACAATTAAATAAACCCTGTGTCAGGAAATATTGTCCTCAGTTTGTGTCTAAATTTTGCCTAAAATGTGTTATTTTGTAATTATGTTGTTTATTTGTTTACGTTTTTTCCCTTTAGTCTTTAAAATACCAATATTTGCCCATAACTTCTTATTTTATGTCTGTTTGATGTCATCATTTTAAAAATATTAGATCAGATGATACTCAGTACTCAAGTATCCTTCTAATCAAATACTGTTTTACCCTTACTTGAGTAATAAACCCTATATCAGGAAAATATTGTCCTCGGTTTGTGTCCTTCCAGTGAGCGTTGCAGATGTGGGAAAATGTCATCAGGCAGTAATCATTGTTAAATTGATAATTATTCTCGGAGAGAGACAAACTCTTATCTGCCCCTGGGAGCCCTGTAATGCATAGCGTCATTTCAACATGGCAGTGTCCGCGACACGGTCTATATGCAGGTAGCGGCGCTGCGGCTGCTTTATAAAGCGACTCATTGCATTCTCCCTCAACCCAAATCCTCGGATCACGCATTTTAGCTAAAACGCTAACGCTAACTTGCCTTGTGTTGACTGTAGAGTTGTGGGTGATGGTCACACAGATGTGTCATGAGATCTGAAGCGTTGCTGCCTTTCACATACACTTTTTCTGCATGTGCTGCAAACAGGATAGCCGTCTTCTATCAACTGTCCCTCGGCATTCTTCAAATATCCAAAAGATGCCCGTACTTCCCACTTTGTCTTCTTTGAGGGATAAAAAATGTCCTCCTGAGTGCTGCCGTCTCCTCCTTTGGCCATTATTTCACCTTTAGCTTCATGAAAGTTTTGGTTGTAAACAACTAAGTGCGCATGTGCCGCCGGCAACTTCAACAGATGATACGGTGGCTGGTAAGGGTCACTGCACCTACACCGCAGCCACGGTAATCCCACCAAGATAATATATATATATTTTTAAAACAAGACGGTTATTATCATTGTCAACTTTTTTACCGGGGTTTACCGCTACATCGATTACCGTGACAACCCTACCTGATAGGTCTGCTTAGATCTATTTTGAAAACTCTGATCAAAACCGATAGGGGAGCTATCGGCCGATTGGGATCAAATGGCGATCCATCGGTGCGTCCCTAATTAAAATGCATGATTTTATGGCTACATAGCTAAACATGTTAGCTACTAGGTGTACTCAGGCTAATCTCTGCATTTGGTCGTGAGTCAAAGCTGCAGCTTCCTTCACCAGCTACGTGTTAGATAGGAAAACTTGACAGAGCTTGACAGAATATGTGAGTCACACATGTGAGATCTGTGCTTCTGTGTACCTAAACGCTAAATTTAACATATGATGAGACTCAGTACACAAGAGCAGATAATGCCATCTGTATAAGAGCTCCTCTGATGATCAGTGGAGGAGCTCCATCAGTGTCAGTCACACCAGATCAGTGACGTAAAGCTTATTAATAGATTACTTTTCCTCGCTGAGATACTGAGCGAGACAGAAAGGGTTTGACTGTATTTTCCAGGGAAACGAACCTCCAATTGGAGCAGCGAAACAGCAGCCCACTCCCACCGCACAGGCTGCTGCCAGCATCTCGATGTTTCTTGACTCATTCTGAAACACACAGAAATACACACTTTTGGATCAGCTTTTCTCTCATTTAAAATAGACAAAATAGACATTTGTACAGTGAACAATTAAAGATTTAACCGGCAATCGAGTTTGAATGTTTTTTTTTTTTTTCACTTTTCTGACCTTTGGTTTTTGATATGGTGGGAAGAGGCACTATTAATAAGACAGTTCTAATTGAAAACACTAATTTATAAGTGTTTTTACAACAATATTGGTGTTCTAAACTAGGGATGCTAAATATTGGCTTTAAGAATTTTTTTTATCAATAATTGATATTCTGATATTGTCTGACTATTAATTTGCAATACCAATGAGAACTAATAATAATAATAATAATAATGATAATAATAATAATGCATCAAACTTATATAGAGCTTTTTTAGGACACTCAGAGATGCTTTCACACACCCTCACATTCACACACTGTTAGTGATGGTAAGCTACTTTGTAGCCACAGCCGCCCTGGGGCGGTCTGACAGAGGCAAGGCTGCCATTTGGTGCCGTCGGCCCCTCTGACCACCACCAACACAGGCACGTTGGGTTAAGTATCTTGCCCAAGGACACAACAGCAGAATACCCCTGGCAGGAGCTGGAACCGAGCCCATGACCCTCCGATCATGAGGCTCTACCACCTGAGCTACTGCTGCCCTGATCTCTTATCATGTGTGCTTAAACTTTAAACATTTTCTTTACAAAAGAACAACTACTTTGATTTAGGTTAGTAAACATTTAATTTTTCTTCAATCGCAGCAGAATAGCAGCTACATGCTGTGAGGACAGCGTACGTTCACTGCACAGTACAAATCTCTACTTCACAAGTTGTGCCAAATAAACTAAAATACCTCAAAAACCTTAAGTCAGACCTGTCATATTTTGAGAGACAGAAATAGCTGATAAGTTTGATGTATAATATGTGTACGGTAAGTAAAAGTTAAGTCATTTAGAGGCTATAAACCGATACAGATATTTTCCGATATTAAACTTTAATGCTAATGTCGGCCAGTACTAATGGCAGACCGATAAAAGCAGACATCCCTGGTAAAAATAATACATCAACTCCAAGTCAATGTGTGCCTTACATTGTCCCTTCATAATTATGGTCATTTGCACCCATCAGAGTTCTCACACTGTTGCCATAACCCAACACAAGCTCTGGTTCATCACTTTAGCTCTCAATTGTTGCCGGTTTTGTACATCTCTGACCTGTGGACGAGCTCTGTCAGTATCTCCATCCTCTCATTTAGCTAAAAAAAACCATCATTACGTATACAGACATAAATATTTGTACATATAGTATGACATTGCATAAGAAACTGTTGAAACACAGCATCTGTTTGCATGATTGGGAAAAAATTCTGACTTTTTAGTCGTTGCTTGGGGTGCTGACATAAAAAAAAATAAAAAATCCACTTTCAGGTATGAGGTTGTTTGATCACTGTTTAAGCCGACCAGATTGAATTATGTCCAATTCTGGTCCCCAAACTATTTTCTTTATTTCAGTGCATCTCTTTGAGTTTGCCGCAGCTCTTCTTTTTAGGAATATGGCCAATTTTATTAGTTCTAATTGATTACCCAGTGTCCGGACCAAAAAGTAGAGTCATAGTTTAACCCTACCCTCTGAAGCGTCTGTACCATTACCCAACCACTACCCCGTTTAGACAGTGTCATGCCCACGGCCAAAATCTAAGGGATTAAAATAAAGCAAATCATGAAAATCTCATAAAAATAAGAACAAATTTGACTGAACAGAAAAGTAAAAAAAATAAATGTGGGTTTTTGAACATTTGGTCTATTTTTTCCTCAGACTTAGTTAATTAATGACTTGATTTGTGATAATCAGATCTCTTTAATCTCTGTCACAGAATCCTGGCTGTAGCGAGAGGACTATGTTAGTTTAAATGAGTTAACTCCCAATAATTGAACTCATCATATTGCTCGAAGAGGAGGGGGTGTAGCAACCATTTTTCATTCAGATCAATTAATCAATCTCTTACCAATTAATAGTTACAGTTTTTTTGAACATCTAATTCTCAGTTTTCCTAAACCAGACTGCAAAACTGTAAAACCACTCTTGTTTGTAGTTTTGTATCATCCACCAGGCCCTTACTCTGAGTTTTTGGATCAGATCTCAGATATTTTTTTAATCTGATTTGGTGCTAAATACTGATAAGGTCATTGTAGTGGGGGATTTTAACATTCATGATAACAATGGATCATCCATAATAACATTGGAAGTGATAGCCTCAGTGTAGCCTTTAGTAATATCTTAGACTCAATTGATTTTACATTAAAAAATAGTCAATCTTTATCTGACAACGTTGTGGCAAATTTTAAACCAACTGTTCCATCTTTACTGTCTTCAGTACCTCAGAAGAAGGTAGCAGAGGGCAACAATTTCATTTTTAGCCCTTCACAAATGTATGTCTTGTCCATAATGTTACTTCTTATTTACATGTGGCACTAGACAATGTTGCTCCTTTAAAAAAAAGGTGATTAAGCACAGGAAGTTGGCTCAATGGTTTAATTCTGAACTGCAAAACAGAACTCTAGAACATTGGTAGAGAACATTGTGTTCTACACACCGGGAAGAGTCCTACTTACCCTGGAAAAATAGTCCTGAGCTTTATAAAAATAGGCTTTGACAAGCTAGATCTGCATAGTTTTCATCACTAATTGAGGAGAATAAGAATAATCCTGAATTCCTTTTCAGTACAGTTGTCAAACTTACACAGAATCATAGCTCTGAACCATCTATTCCTTTAGCCCTCAGCAGCAACGATTTTTTAGGATTCTTCACGAATAAAATTGATTCTATTAGAAACAAAATCATTAGCATCCTCCTGAACACAATTTTTTCTTCCTCAATAAATGAGGCAGCATCAAAGGTAACTGTAGAACCTCATCTGTGTTTGATTCAGTTGAGCTTTCAGAGTTATCAAAAATATTACCTTCATCTAAACCTCTAACTTGTAGTTTAAAAGCAATCCCAACCAAATTATTTAAAGATGCATTTCCTTTGTTTACTGCCCCAACTCTAAATATAATCAATCTATCACTAGTGACGTCATCCCATCTTCCCCTGAGCCGTTGTCCTCACTGCAGAGGATCCAGCACCAGGGACAGCGCCAGGAGCGGCCTGCTCACACCTTCCAGCGCCCTTTCAGGACCTTGGAGAGAGGCACGCCGGCAGAGACACCAGCTGATCTCCATCAGCTATCAAGCGGCCAACAGGCTTAAAAGGAGAAACGCAGCAGACGTCGAGGAGATCCTGGATTAGCCCGAGATTCTCCTTAGCTCACGGACACTATTGCTACCGTTACCAGTCGGGTTTAAGGCTGTTTACACCGTTCCTGCTGGGTTTAAGGTTGTTGATAGAGATCCAGGAGTAGCCTGAGATTCTCCCTCGCTCAATTGTGTTAGGTTTTCTACTAAGGATCCAGGATTAGCCTGGGTACCTTCTGAGCATGTTTTCACACGCCTTGTTAAGGGTAAAACCTTCGTGGTGGTTTTCTTTTTATCCCCATAGGACTTTTGAGCCGGGGATATTTTGCGTTGAAGTGGTTGTCATTTAAGTTTGGCAGAAAGCCTTTTTCATAAGCAGTGAGACTACTTATGGTTTTAGTTTCCCTAATTATTATTATTATTAGTAAGCCTTATTTATGCCGTTTACCCACGGACACTTTATGTTAATAAATCCTTTTGTTTTTACTCTAACCTCCTCGTCCTTTATCCACACACACACCTTTACACCTATTTTCTTGTGTTAGTCCCCTCATCATCCTAGACCTGCAGAAAGGGGGTGTAACAATGGATACAAACTGCAGGATTTTAAGGTTGCTGTAATCAAACCTCTCCTTAAGAAACCTTTTCTGGTTCCAGGTGAACTAATGAATTGTAGACCAATATCTAACCTTCCATTTTTATCCAAAGTCCTTGAGAAAATAGTGGCCAATCGAGTATGTGAGCATCTAAATGGCCTGCATTTGATATAGCACCTTCTAGAGTCCTGGAAACCCCCAAGGTGCTTTACAACACAATCAGTCATTCACACATTCACACGCTGGTGGGGATGAGCTACGACATAGCCACAGCCGCCCTGGGGCGCACTGACAGAGGCGAGGCTGCCGAGCACGGGCGCCACCGGTCCCTCCCACCATCACCAACAGAAAAGGGGGGTTAAGTGTCTTGCCCAAGGACACAACGACAGCGACAGACTGAGTGGGGCTTGAACCTGCAACCGTCCGATTACAGGGCGAGCACTCAACTCTTGTGCCATCGTCGCACTAATGATCTGTTTGAGGAATTTCAGTCTGGTTTTAGACAGTATCACAGCACTGAAACTGCATTAGTGAAAGCTACAAATGATATTCTCATGGCCTCAGATAAAAATCTTGGGTCTGGTCTGATCTTGTTGGATCTGAGGGCTGCTTTTAACAAAGTCAATCAGAATATTTTCTTAGAAAGGCTTGAATATGTAAGGATCAAGGAACAGCACTTGTTTTAAATCTCATCTGTCTGACAAATTTCAGTTTGTTCATGTCAATCTTCTTCATATTTTAGAGGAGAGGTATTCAATTATGGGCCTGGAGGGCCGGTATCCAGCATGTTTAAGTGGTTTCTCTGCTCCACCACACTTGATTCAGTGGTTGAATCATCTGTGCAGCAGCTCATCAGGCACCGCAGAAGCCTGATAATTACCTGCTGACTGAAATCAGGTGTATTGAAATGTGCTGGATACTGGCCTTTCATGCCTGAAATCGAATACCCCTGCTTTAGGGTTACTTGTGAAGTACCACAGGGTTCAGTGCTTGGACTAATTATTTTCTCTATATATGTGCTTCCAACTGTCAAAATCATTACACGACATGAAGACATAAAAATCTGGATGACTCTAAACTTTCTGCAATACTGAAGTTCTCATCTTTGGACCAAAACTTAGTCAATTACCTAATCTGAACGGCATTAAATTAGCCTTCGAGATC